CACCTCCTTCTATTCCGAGCCTCACTCCCTTGTCTTCCAACGTACTCATCGGAGAGATTAGCAGTGTGATAGAAATGTGGAGCAGCCAAACACTGAGCAACTGACATCATCAGAATCCCAGGAGGTAAGTCCAACCCCTAACCCTACTCCCACTGTGGACGACCTAAACATCCCTATTGCCCAACGAAAGGGAGTCGGGTCCTGCACTACCAAACACCCCATTACCCACTTTGTTTCCTTTGACCACATTTCTCCCTCGTACCGAGCCTTCCTATCGGCAGTTGACTGCATCCCTATTCCCAATAATGTTGCAGAAGCCTTAAAATACCTTGAATGGATAGATGCCATGAAGGAGGAGATTGATGCCCTCCACAAAAATCAGACTTGGGAATTGGTGGATCCTCCAGAGGGGAAAGAACCCGTGGGGTGCAAATGGGTGTTCACAATTAAGCACAAGGCAGATGGAACTGTTGAAAGGTGCAAAGCAAGACTAGTAGCCAAAGGGTACACAGGTATATGGAGTTGACTATGATGAGACTTTTGCTCCGGTGGCTAAGATAAACTCGATTAGGGTTCTCCTGTCCTTAGCTGCTAACTTTGACTGGGATTTGCATCAACTGGACATAAAGAATGCCTTCCTGAATGGTGACTTAGAAGAAGAGGTATACATGGTTCAACCTCCTGGATTTTGTGCGAAGGGAAGTGAAAGCATGGTGTGCAAGCTACGGAAGTCTCTCTATGGCTTATAATAGTCTCCCAGAGCCTGGTTTAGTAAGTTTCACATGGCAGTTCAAGAGATGGGGTTCCAACAGTGCCAGTCTGATCATACACTCTTTGTGAAGAGATGTCAGGAGCAGGTTGCTGTATTGATAGTGTATGTAGACGATATCATCATTATAGGGAGTTAGAGCTCAGAGATACAGAATTTGAAACAATTCCTTGCATCCAAATTTGAAGTGAAAGATCTAGGACTCCTAAAGTATTTCCTTGGGATCGAAGTTGCCCGTTCAAAAAGGGGTATMTTTGTCTCTCAAAGGAAATACACCCTTGATCTATTACGGGATACAGGTAAATTAGGTTCAAGGCCGGCAGATACTCCTATGGATGTGGACCACAAGCTAGGTG